AAGGAGGGGAGAAGGGTGAATACCTTTTCTGCATCTATATAGGAAACCCTCAGGGTTTGTTCACTTGCTTGTTATTTGTTTGACAATGTGGAAGTGCAATCTTTCAGAGGGACTTCTTGTTACTGCAGATCTTAGGGGATCAAGGGGCTGGTAGGAAAAACAGATGAGATTGTATTTGTGTGGGAAGCTGGCAAAATGGGTTGTGCTCATTTTGGTTAGTTAAGGCTCAGAGTTGGGGAGGACCTGGCCTTTGGCTAAAAGTAGCTCCTTAGAGACCCTGTGTGGTTCAGGGAAGCGGGATACATGGGGGTGGTGAGAAATGAGGCAGGAGGGCCTGCAGGTCCAGTCGTGTGGTGGCTGCCAGCCCTGTTCATGACTCCTTATGACTCCTGAGATAATGGTTAATGGGAGCCACTGAAGGTGTTTAAGTGGCTGCTGAGTAGAGAAGGAATCAGAGGGGGAGGCCCAGCCAGGTGGTGGCTGCCATTGGCTATGTGAGTATGGATGTTGGCCTGAATAGGGAACAAGACAGGGAACATGAGAAGAGAATGGATTTGAGAGAAACTTCTGAGAGCTGACAGGTCTTGGTGACTGGAGGTGGTCAGAAAGAGAAAGGAGTAGAGAATGATGACCAGTTCTTAGACTTGTGTCAAACTCGATGTTTAAGCCCTTCTCTGAGATGGATGGCTGGAGGTTCTCTCTCTGTTCTGCCTGGAGTGAATGGGAATGAAGGGTCTGGTGTGCCCAGACCAGAGCTTCAGTTCACACCTCATCACATGCTCAGCCCTCCCCTCGGCTCCCTGAGCCTCCAGCCTCTTCCCTGTCTGGCCTACCAGCTGCCACACTGATCTGAACAAGGGATATGATCGTCTCATTCCCCTGCAGAAGAGCTTTCGAAGTCTCCCTGTTGTCTCTAGAAAGATCTGAGCTCCTTAGGCTGGTAAATAAAGTCAGCTACAAACTGACTCCAGTTGTGGGGGAAAGAGGGAGGGGTCCTGCAGTAACCCCCAGGGTCTCTGGGTGGCAGGTGTTGGGGTGGGGTGTCTCTGAGATTTCTTTTGTTTCCTGAGCCTCTTCGGCAGCTGTTGGACTATGGGATAAGTGAACGTTGTGATGGGGGCTTTTAGAAAGAAATGACTATGGAGCAGTCTCAAAGCCTTATGGGGTCTGGCAGCAGCTCAGGCTGGCCCCTTAGAGCCTTATTGGGTTAACATAGCTCTTTCTCCCCAGCACTCCGGAGGGGAAATCATAGGGTTTTCCTAGAGGGGCTGCAAATCTCAGGGTAAAGACCTGAACCGAGCCAAAACCGGTTTGGCTCAGTGGATAGAGTGTCGGTCTGCGGACTGAAGGGTCCTAGGTTTGATTCCAGTCAAGGGCATGTACCTTGGTTGCAGACACATCCCTGGTAGGGGGTGTGCAGGAGGCAGCTGGTTGATGTTTCTCTCTCATCTATGTTTCTAGCTCTCTATCCTTCTCCCTTTCTCTCTGTAAAAAATCAATAAAATATATTAAAAAAAAAAAAAGTCCTGAACCGACTTCCAGCCTAAGCCCCTTCTCCCAGACACTGGTTGGGAGGCTCTAGCTCCCACCCTCTGCTTTTTGCCTGGAAGTGCATCTTGGTTGTGGTGCTGCCGTTCAGGTGGGGCTGGGCAGGGAGCCTTGAGGGCTAATTCTAACAGCTCTGCACACAATGGGAATTTCCACTCCTATCTATGGAGCCATCAATGCCATGTGCCCTGACCTGGGCCTTTGCCCTCCAAAGGGCAGTGGGAAGGCCAGCCCCAGGGCCAATCCCTGGCCATTAATCCCTCCTGCCAGTCCGAATATCCACCCAGCGTGGTCAGACAAAGGACTGCCCAGCCTGGCCACTGTGTTCCTCCCGCCCCAGGGGCTCCGCTCAGACACTGGGCCGCCTGGAATCCGGGCCCATGAGAAAGGGGCTGCCTTCCCTGGCCATCTTATGCCCGGATGCTCAGCCACATCCCATCCGGCCCAGGGCCCGTGAAAAGAGGGCCCAGCCACGCTGAAAACACGGATTAGCCCTTGGGCTACCCTAACACTGGCCCAATGGAGAGGGCCATGCAGGCACTGAGAGCTGATGAAGTCTGGGTTCTCACCCCTTTGGCCCAGCTCCCTGCCCCCACCCTCCCCAGGATTAGCGCAGTCACCCACACATTCAGTACTGTTTTTTGAACATATACTATGTCCCAGGCTCTGCACATAAATCAGAAAATTGAATGTATAAGAAATTGCAGTTTGCCATAGGAGATAATAAGAGCCATCCCTCTCCCACATTTGGTGTTGTGAGACAGAGGCTGTGGTAGGGAGCTTCAGATGGGACTGGATTCAGACCTAGGGAAGGTGGGAAAGATGGTAGCTCTTGGTCTATTCCTGAGTCTAACACCTGGTTAAAAAACCCAGGCTTGACAATGACTTCTCTGGCTCTGCCTCTCTCCTTTCCCTCCTGGTTGAATTCTGGATCTCCTGTTACCAAGTGTCAGTGTGGGCCAGGCCCTTTCATCCCAGGTCTCATTTAAACCTCAAAATAATGCTGAGGGTTTGTTACTGTCCCGCCTGAGGCTCCAATGAGCAACTGGCCCCAGGTCACTCATCCCCAGGGGCAGGATCCCATTGCTGCAGTTGCTTGTCTGCCTGCTTTGGCAAGCTGTTTGTGTGACAGCACTGTCTTGTGTTTTGTGTGGCCTCTGCTCAGGCAGTGGAATGCCAGGGGGAGAAGGCATGAGGTGAGACCCATTTATGTATAAAACCGGCTGACTTTTCATTGCTGTGGGGTGGGGGGATTGTCGTTAGATCTCCCAGTGTCATCTCCTTCCTCTACTTCTACAGCCCCCTGTACCCACCTCTCTCATGGCCTAGATTGTCTGTGTTTCTCTCTCCCCACCAGACTGCGAGTCTCGTCATCTCTGTCTTCCCTGAGTGCTGGCAAAGGGCCTGGTACACATGCTCAGTGAATGATGAGGCTAAGCTGAGGCAGGAGAAATGAAGGAGGGGTGGATTTGGAATCCCATGTGGAACTGACAGGACTTGCAGATTGCTTGGGAGTGAGCGTGATGGGGAGGGAAGAGCCCAAAGTAATGCCTGTATTTCCGATCTGGGTGGTGAGGGGAAAGGGGCCCATTTGTGAAATCTGGAATACAGGAAGGGGAGCAGGTTGAGGGTATGCTAGGTTGAGAGGGATGTGCAGTGAATACTTGGAATATGCTGACCTAGGCATATTTTGCAGCTGAAGTTGTGAGGGCTGGAAGAACTCTATAGTAAATTATTTCTGCAATCCCAACTTTAAAATATGTTCTTAGAAGTCATGGTGCTGGTGCTCTGAGCTCTGGGTTTAATTCCAGCTCTGCTACTAGCTGTGTGAAGTCAGGTAAATCCCTCAGCCTCTCAGAGCCTTAGTTTCCTCATCTGCAAAACAGGAATGACTGCTTATAGCACAAAATGTTCACACTTCAGTGAGCATTTTGTAAGTTTACCACTTACAAAATGCTCAGTTATGATGGTGGTTCCATTATCAGCTGAGACTGGAACTGAGAGGTCAGCCCTTAAGTCTTATTGTGGATTTTGAAACCCTGGGCTATAGGCTTGCTGTACCCAGGGACATTCCAATTCAGGGCCAAAACTGGGGTGAGGCACCTAGGGGCCCAAATTTAAGGAGGCCCTGGTTCACAAGTACTGACCCTGCGCTTGCATCAGCCCGAGAGTGAGTGCCTCCTTAAATTGAGGCCTTGGGAATGCCACTTGCCTGTCCTATCCCCAGCCCTGTTCCCTTGATCTTGCCTGAACCAAAGACAGCCTTTTAAGACAAAGCTCCTGTATCCTTTGGTTTCCTCCAAGCCCGGCTGGCTCTCCTGTCACTTGAGAAAAGGTTTCCTGAACTAGGCTCAGGGTAGCATCACCTCTGGATGGTGATGGTGGGTGGTACTTCCCAGACTGAGTATTTATTAAAAACTGCTAAGATCCCTGCCTGCCCCTCCCCCCAGCCCACTGAGATGTGAGTGTAGCATTTCTGTGTACCAGTAAGCAGCTCTTTCAGACCTCCAATCTGGGGAAGCACTTGGGGGTTTCTCTCTGGCCAGTACCTGTTCCTTGGAACTCAGGGCTGGGCAGGCCTGTGTTCTGTGCATCTTCCCAGTGGGCCTACTCTGTGTGTGTGTGTGTGTGTGTGTGTGTGTGTGTGTGTGTGTGTGTGTGTAAGCGCGTGTGTGTGCCCGGGAGCCTTTTTTCTAGAGCAGAAGGGACATGGAGAAGGGGAAGCCAGAAAGGCAACTCCAAGTTAAGGGTTTTCGGGGCTCTTGATTTAAAGCAGTCTCTTGCTACTTTTCAAAGAATGCTCACAAGTGTTCTGGATGGGAAGGGTTGTGGGAGAGACAGGACAAAGAGGTGATGATGTTCGTGGAGCCCCCAAGACAAAGCCAGCCTCCTCCCTCTATGCTTCCCCATTGCCTAATGTCTGAGGTGGGCCTGACGCTTCCCTGGCCAACACAGGTTAGGGTGCTGAAGGCTGGCCCGGAGGCCCTGGTGGCTCTCATCTCTGCCCTAGGTGGGAGGAAGCAGGACTCAGCGGGGAGAACCACAATGGGGAGCGCCCCGGCGATTGGGTGGATTTCTGATTAGCATTGACCCCTAAGGGAGGAGGGTGAGGGAGATCTTAGGGGAAAGGAAGCTGATGAATGGATGAATTCGGTTGGACTGACTCCATGGAGATGGGAAAGGGGTGAGGCGGGGTCTGGAAAAAGCTGACCCCAAGGGAGGAGACCAAGGGAGGGGGGGGAAATGTAGGGCTGGGGACTGGGAGCGCGGCGAGGGGCCTGGGAAAGCAAAGTAGGGGGAGGCGCCGGCCAGTGGGGAAGGTCCGAGCCTTCTGCCTGGATGGGGGCGGGGAGGGGCGCCGGGTCATATAAGGCGGGTCGGCGGCCCCTCTGCGGGAGCAGCCCAGCGCGGGCAGGCAGGGCCGCGGCCTCCCCAGGACTGGGCGCAGCGACATGGAGCCCCCTGCCTCCTTCCCGGCCCTGCCCTCGGTCGCGCCGTCGGGGCCGCCGCCGCCTTCGCCTCCTCCGCTCGCCGGAGCCGAGCCCGGGCCGGAGCCCGAAGAGGCGCCCGCCGGCCGCGGGGAGCCGGAGCCGGAGCCCGCGCCGGGCCCGGGCCCAGGGGGGCGGCGGCGGCGGCGGCCCCTGCAGCGCGGGAAGCCGCCCTACTCGTACATCGCGCTTATCGCCATGGCGCTGGCGCACGCCCCGGGCCGCCGCCTCCCGCTGGCCGCCATCTACCGCTTCATCAGCGAGCGCTTCGCCTTTTACCGCGACAGCCCGCGCAAGTGGCAGAACAGCATCCGCCACAACCTCACGCTCAACGACTGCTTCGTCAAGGTGCCCCGCGAGCCGGGAAATCCGGGCAAGGGCAACTACTGGACGCTGGACCCGGCGGCCGCGCACATGTTCGACCACGGCAGCTTCCTGCGGCGCCGCCAGCGCTTCAAGCGCGCCGAGCCGCCCGCGCCCCCGCCGCCCGCGCCCGCCGCGCCGCCCGGCCCCTGCGCGCCCTTCCCGCCCGGCCCCTTCGGCGCGGACAGCCTAGGGGGCCTGGGGGACCTGCCGCTCGAGCTGGGGGTGCTGGGCGCCCCGGAGCCGCCCTGCTGCGCCGCGACCGACGCCGCCTTCCCGCCCTGCGCCGCCGCCTTCCCGCCGCTCTATGCGCCCGACCTCCCGGCGCTGCCCCCGCGCCCCGCCGAGCCGCTGCTGGCCTTGGCCACGCCGCCGGGAGCGCTGGGCCCGCTTGGCCCCGGGGAGGCCTACCTGCGGCCGCCGGGCTACCTGCCGGGGCTGGAGCGCTACCTGTGAGCCCTGCCTCGCAGGCAGCGGCCGCCTGGAGAACCCCCTGCCTCTTGGACTGAGCACACCTGTTACCTCTTTCACTGGGGAGAATCCCACCTTCTCTCCACCAGACTGAACCCTCCCTTCCCCCACTGTGTGAGCCCCTTGTTTCTTCTCCTTCCCCGGTGGGCCCCCACCTGCGCGCTTCCCCAGTGCCATTGGTGATCCCATGTCCCCGCGCCCAATCACCTCCCTAAAGCCTCCACGCCAGGTCCCCCCCTCTCCCCCCCTCAGAAGACCAAGCCTTCGGAAGCCAGGCTTTCGGTGTCAAGCCGCCGGGATCACGGACAGACTCCTTACTTCATCCTTCCCTCTAATGTGTTCTTACAACACATTAGGGGTCAGACGCCTGTGTTCACGACTCCCTCGCTCTCTTCCCTTCATTTCCCACAAGTTTGAGCCCCAACCCCACTTACCTGTCTATCCTCGGTTTCTTACACACACACATCTGGCTGCACTGTCCCAGGCCCCAGGACAGTTATTGGAGATTTCTCAGACCAGCGGCTCCACGGGGCTCCCGACTGAAGGGGCAGTTCGTGGGCTGCCCACCATCTGGAAGATTTAGGGTTGGCTCATTAGGTTATTATTTTTTTAAATTAAAGCTGATTTGATTAAAAAGAAAGAAAGCTTTGTCTGGGCTTGGTGTGCTGGCTGGTGACTTGGGGGAGTGGCCTGGGGAGAGAGTGGGTGGGCTTTGTTCAGGATCTTTGGTTGTTCCTATAGTGTGAGCCCCTGGGGAAGCATCAGGCAGCAGTTCATGCAGTGGGATTAGGATGCGATGAACCACAGCTGTGCACATAGTAGGCCTAGTGAATACCATCACCTGTTGCATCCCAGATATGTAGAGATGAGATGGGTGTGCAAATGAGTGTATTTGGGTCAGTGGGCTCATCTGCTGGGTGATTACTCCCAGCTCCCATGGATAAGGGAGCATTGGCCACTTCTCCAAGTATGTACTTACAGAATGTGCTAGGTTTTGGGAGTAAATACATCACTAAACAAGTGGGCATGACCCCTGCCTCCTGGTGCTTAGGGACAGCTGGGGAAGAGACATTACCAATCGCTCCTCAGAGAAATGAGATAAGTGTTCCATAGCCTCGGACTCCAAGTGTAGTCCCCGGCCCTTCGCCAGCTCCTGGGATGAAATGCATCACCTTGTTAGGAATGCAGAATCTCAGGCTCCACTTCAGACCCACTGAGTCATCAGATTCTGCATCTTATCGAAGTTTACTGGTGATTAGTATGCACAGTATTCTGGAGAAAATACACTGGGCCAAGGCAGGAGGCTCAGTTTAAATATATATATATATATATATATATATATATATATATATATATATATATATATATATATATAGATAGATTTTTTGCAGAGAGGGAGAGTTAGAAACATCGATGAGTCATCGATCAGCTGCCTCTTGGACGCCCTCTACTGGGGATGTGCCGCAAGCAACCAAGGTACATGCCCTTGACCGAAATCGAACCCGGGACCCTTCAGTCTGCAGGCTGACACTCTATCCACTGTGGAGGCTCAGGTTTAAAAGCTCCCTATTTAAAGAGTAGGACCAGGCTGCAGAACCACACCCTCCTCCACACTTCTGGAGCTGAGCCTTGCACCATCAGCTATGGCCCTTGTTTTACTATATCCTTTGCTATATTGGGAGCTGGAGCAACAGGGACCTGAACTGTTTCAGGACTGTCCCAGCATCACAGACAGGGCAGCACTGAACAGAGACCCTGGGGTTGCTGCATGAGTTGGCTTTTGACCCTGCCCTACTCTAACATGCTGACGCAACTGCTGAGCACCAGGCTTTCCCAAGCTCCTCTGCCTCAGGGCTCCCAGTTTAGAAGTGTCTGGATTAGGTGTAGGAAAAGGTGGGAAGGGATCAGTGTGCCTTGAGTCCAGGATGAATGTGATTTGCATGTTGCACAAGCCTGATTGATGCCCCTCTCTTAGATACAAGAGTTTAAACCTCTGAGGTGGTGATGAAGGGTGAGGGTGGAAAGTGGCAGCTCATGGAGGAGAAAGGTGCAGGAAATGTGAGGTAGGGAAGACGGTCTTTAGAGATAGGACAGTAGATCTGCCCAGTCTGGCATGAAACACCCTGGCTAGACTCCCTCCCCAGCTATTAACCCTTTTGAGCAAGAGTCAGATCGCATTTGCTTGATGCACAGCAGCTCTTCACTTAGTATTTGTTGAATGGCTCTCTGAATGAATCCCTAGTGTCTATTGTGCCTGACTTACTGAATAATGACTGGGTTGACAGTACTCTGGCACTTTCCATTCTCACTTGCAGTCCTCACAGTGACCTTCAAAAGAAGTGAAGTTGAAGGCCACTTCCCCATTTGTCCAATGAGAAAACTGCCCCTCCCTGGGACTCAGCAGGTAGCAAAGATTCAACCTGGTTCTCTAAGGAGTCTAGCTCCACAAAGATCAAAATGCAAACATTTTCTGCTCCAAATGGTGTTATGGCTCTCCTCCTGCCTCAAAGCACCTCTTGATAAATTCCTTCCAAATCCATGAAGTTCCCAGGGAAGGAGAAGTTCCTTCTCTGCTGAAGCCAGGAAGTACTTCTTGAGCTCTGAATTTCATTCTTGCCATCATGGCCCTGAAGGTCTCTGTCCCTGGGATCTTGGCACAGCGAGGAGGAGATGGCAAGTGTCGGCATGGAAATGCTAGAAGGGTCACTGCTGAACTGGAAAGTAAGAGAGATTTTATTTTGAAATGCCTCTTTAATGTTCTTCCATTCAATAGCATAGAGGGCTCACAGTGTGCCAGGCCCTGTGCTGGGCCCATACAGATACAAATATGAGACTGATGATGCCATCAAAGTTCATTATCTGGAAACCTCTGCGTCATAGAGTGCCCTAAGATTTGTGACACTTGGGTAGATGTTGAAAATACAAAACAAAGCTCTATTCCAATTCTGTCTTTACAAAGCACTTTTTCTTCTTTTTTGAGTGAAAGCAAAATTTTATTACAGAAAAGCTCCCTGCTGCAGGGAGGAGACCCAATCGGATTGTAGCACTAAACACTTCTTATCTAGAAGCAAGATTGCAATATGGAAGTCTTATTTTTCTCTCCTTTCTCCTCACCCCCTCTTTTCTTTTCTTTTTTTTTTTCTTTTTTTTGGGGGGGATAATCTGGATGGAACTTTCAGAAATGTTAAGTGACTACCCCTTCATTTTTGTAGAAACTTAGAAGTCATCTTTAATCTGAAGACACAGTTTTTAACACTTAATTCTTGCTTTTATTGAATTGAAACAAGCATATAAAGTAACAGTCCAAAAAGCAATGACAAGGTTTTTAATGGCGCCTAGCCCAATTTTCAGGAACCTGTATTGTACCCTAGAACTATCTACTTTCAATTCATGTCTGTCTCTTTCTGAATACACTTCTGTATTTCCATGCTTATACTACTCTCTCACAACAGCAATGATTAACTTCCTATTATGATTGATTATCATTTACCTCTGAAACCCCTATCCCTTCTCATTCCCACCCAAATCACCAACTTTTGGTTAAAGTAATAATTCACATATTATTGCTATATAAATATTGTTCTCTGATAGCTGCTGGTGTACCATGACTACAACTCCTTTTGGAGGGAGAGTGTAGCTTTTCATTTTTCCTGGAGTTCAGTGCCTTATTTTTTTTTTTTCATTTACTTCCCTTTCTTTCACCCGTAGCCAAATCTTCCCTAATTTTCATGAGGTCAAACTTATTGGGAGATCTATCATTGCTTTGGGTTGCTGTGCTTTCTGTTCCCCGGGGGCACCTCTCCCCTCGCCCTCTGTCCTCCAGTTCCAGCCGGGGCTGATTGCTCTCCATGTCTGCTGCACAGATGTGGCCCTGTTTCCCTTCACTGTTTTCCTTGGAATTCCCTCCATCGCTATCCTGTGTTGGATTCTCTGCTTCTTGAATTCCATATCTTCCTTTTCGCTGGTTTCTTTGTTTCAGTCAAGGTCAATTTGGGGGGAAATTTTGCACATCTGAAATTACGATGATTAATTTAGTGTGAGAAAGCTAAGTGTGCACTTTGACAATGAAATGGTCGAGTTAAAGCTGTGTTTTTGTAGCCTTCTATTCTGTGGGAGTGGGGGCTAAGGAAGAGGAGAATGGGAAGTTGTTTCTGGGTTCAGTGTGCACTAACCTCCTAGGAAGGTGAAGAAGGTGGCTCCGTGTTATGGAAATGAGGGGTGCATGTTTTGGTTAGAGCAGTGTTTCCCAAAGTGTGGTACACATATCCCCAGGGGTACGGGGAAAAGTTTGGTGGGGGTACGCGTTGCACCGGAGTTTGGTGGGGATATGCACTGCACCGTGCTTAGCTGCGCCTAATTCTACTTTTCATGAGTACGAGGGGTACTTAGTGTTACAAAAATTATAGAAGGGGCACACATATGTCAAAAGTTTGGGAAACACCGGGTTAGAGGATGAAGGCAGGGGAATGATGGTTCTGAGTTCTTCATAAGAGTAAATGAGCTGAGGGAGTTGCTTTCTGATTTGGGGGGATTGGAGCACAGGAAGGGTGATTTTGGCACAGGATGGTGCTGAGCTGGTTAGAGGGCCTCCTGGAACAAGGTCAAGATCACCCTACACATGGAAAACTGAGTCCACAGGACAGTGACCTCCTTGGCAGGGACACGGGAAGCATAACAACTGAGAGGCTCCTTCAGGCAATGGGCTTCACCTGGAAGGCAGAAGGCAAAACAAGCAATGTGAACTCCTCACGATAATGCGATAGTCTGTGGGTCGGTTCTAAGCCCGTGGGAAGTACCCCTTTGGGAGATACTAGAAGTATGAGGTGGGGGTGGAGGACAATTTAGCAAGATACTGGGATGAAAGCAGTCTCCTTTTAAATGAAAAAATTCTGGTGACCTCAAGTATTGACTTTAGCTTTTAAAAATTGTAATGTCATTTATTATGGGCAGATATAAAATCCTTAGACTTATATCTCTTATGCAAC